GAGAAGCAAGTTACATCAATCTTGCACTGATAGCCTCAGATGACTCCAACCAGGTGCTGCATGATGCCATCTGCAACCAGAACACTACGATCCTCCGACTAAAAAACCGTCACTCACCTTCTAACACAATAAGGTGCCTGATGAAAGAAGCAAACAACAACAATGGCACCAACTGGGGTAACAAAAAGTGGCAAGACAAGTGGAATAATAACAACCACAGACTGAAACAATTTATTGACAAAGTGTCTAACAAACCCACTGGAAATGACCAACCCAGACAAGCCTGTGTCAAGCTGAACCGACTTAGAACTGGACATGGCCGTTTCCGGACCACCCTACACAAGTTGGGCCTCACTGATGACCCAATTTGCGAATGCGGCGACGGCAAGGAGCAGACGGCCGACCACATCCTATACTCCTGCCCTCACTTCAGATGCCCCGGCAACTTTACCGATTTGGATGATGCCAGCCGCGACTGGCTGAGGCACCTGACTGTGACAATATAACTATGTAACCTCTGCATGTTAAGCTCATACGAATAAATAAAAATAAGCATCATGAACTCTATGAAGTACCTGAACATTTTAACCAAAACTTGGTGGCCTTTGCCAGGAGGCTTATACTTGGCCATAATTGAATCTTGTAGCAAGACAAAGATCCCAAGCACACTTCAAACTCCACAAAGATATGGATAAGCGACCACAACATCAACATTTTGCAATGACCATCTACGGTACGTCTCTGGACTTGAGCCCCATTGAAAACCTGGGGGTTGATTTGAATAGAGCAGTCCATATGTTCACACCAAAGGATATCAAGGATCTGGAAAGATTCTGTATGGAATAATGGTATAATATCCCTTCCAATGTGTACTCCAGGCTCATAAAACAGAAAAAGGCTCAGTGCTGTTATTATTTCAGGGGAGGATGAACAAAGTACTGAGAACAGGGGTGCCAATTTTTGTGGCATTTAATTTTTTTGGAAATAAATTTATCATTTTATATTTTTTTAACTTTGCATGATTCCATTGAATCATTAATGAAGTAAAATATATTCCATATGTGTGTGGCACAGGGGTACAGTGGTTAGCATTGCTGGCTTTCAGCACTGTGTAAGGATACACTAATGAGGAGATATGGATCCTGTGCAGCCGCAGGAGTAGCCGGTAGACACGGCAACAAACAATCCGAATCGAGAGGCGAGATCGTGGTCAATGACAGTAAGGAGGGTCGAAATCCAAGACAGACACTGGAGGCAAACAATCCAAATCGAGAGGAGAGATCGTGGTCGAAGGGAGAAGGTAGGTTGAAATCCAGGACAGACACAGGTGGCAAACAATCCGAATCGAGAGGCGAGGAACAAAGTCAAAAGGCATAAGGGGTAGTCCAAAATCCAGAGTGACACAAGGTTTAGGAATCGCCAGGTAGAGCTCTCAGGGAGTTAACTCAATACCGAGCAGCGGGAAGAAGTTGGATGGTTTAAATAGTGCTGCTCGCCGCACGGTAGAGCATGTGCTGATGGATTAACAAGTGCGGCGGCACTTGTTATTATTAACCCACCGTTGGTACTGGTTAGTTCTTTTGCGAGATGATCTCCACTGGCTGGTGGTCGTGACACACTGGGAATCTGGGTTCAATTCCAGACTTTGGGTGCTGTGGTGTCATGTGAGTGGAGTTTGTACAGTATGTTCTCCCCGTGTGCCCCAGTATCTTCCCAAAGTTTAAAAATATATTTGTAGATTAATTGGCTTCTAGGACAATTGACACTGGTGTGTGAGTTCATGTCTGTGTCTGTGTGTGCCCTGTGGGTGTATCCTGCCTTCAGCATGTTGTTTTTTGGGATAGGCTCCCGTTCCCCTGTGACCCTAAATTGGACCCTAAAATGTATTAATGAATATTCCTTACTGGAAAATTACCGGCATTGTTTATTTTATAGAGGCTTTTTTACTCAGCGCCAATAATTTTGGAGGTGGGTGTGTATTTGAACAACAAGTACACCATTTTCAAATGAACTTCTCATTTCATTGTTGATTCAATGCCTGAAAGGCTGTGAATTTACTGTTCTGGTAAAAAAAAAACCAATGAGACGTTAGATAAAATGTTAAGGGCACTCCTGGAAAGCAATTAAAATTGATAACTAGGATATACATTTTTTAAAATTATTATCACTTTCCTAGTTAAAACATTTTATGTACTGTATCCTACAATTTTATTGCTAGAAATTTCATTAACAAAATTATTGTAGTGATTCAAATGGAAACTGAAGAAAACCTTAACCTAAAATTGGCACTTACTGTACACTCCCCATAATACTTGCTTTTTTTACATCATCACTGAAAAATAATTTCATTAACATTTTTGAAGTTATATTACTTTTTCTTCTTAATTATTCAGGGAGGTGTTTCCACATCCAGACAGATGTGTACAAAGTGAAAATGTTACTAGTACCCAGTGCAAGCAGATAATTTGCAGTCACAGAATGTTGGGAATTTCTCCTTTGCACCTTAACCACACATACTATTACACATTTTTTACATTCTTTTAAAGTGGAAGCATAGATATTGATACTGATATTATGGAGGCAGAGGCATTCTTACTGTACCTAGTGTATGGGGTAGCCAAGTCATTTTCTTAGGACTCAAGATGGAAGGGGCCATAGTGCCAATGCAGGTGATATAAGATACAATCTAAAGAACACATTAATTACATCACCTAGCAACTATAATGACATTTTTTTCAATTTTCTCAGAGAGCAAAAGGCTCCCAAGAACTACTAGCTCCACCTGTCTACCTCGTACTCTTCTATTTATAGGTGGACAATGCACCAATAAAAAATTAAAGACAAAAGCAGAGGAGATGTTACATGACAGTTTACATAGTTACTGCTTTCTTCAAATTAAAAATGATAATGAAGCAACAGTACCAGCAGCAATACTTCAAAAATGCCAGTAGTAGCAAGACTTAGGTGAGGCAGCAATCACAGAAAGTGTCAGCAACAAACTTAAAGCTTGAATGGTCCTACTGAGGAAACTTCTGCAGCAGAAACATCAGTTGAAACAACAAGCAAAAAGGTTGTTACAGATGGAGAGAGACAATCAGTGACAGAACCAAGCTTTGCAGACTTCCTGGTTCCTATCAATGAATATGACACTGATGCAGTAATGGGCACCTCTGGATTTCTTTACCTAAATGCTGTACGTTGCACTCATATAATTCTCAGTTGATCTGGTATTTTGGCCTCAAGACATAAGCTTCTACTCTTGCCCAACAATGTCACAAGAGTGTCAGACAGCACTAGCTCAGACTTCCATTGAGCACAAAGTCTGCTGATCTTTGGACATGGATGATATCCAAATATATATATATATATTTATTTGTAAAATAAGGCCAACAAAAGTTCAACTTGCTTTTTAACAGGAAAAAAAAACATTTAATACCTAACTTTTATCTAACCTTATTTTTTTGTAGTTAATATAAGATCACTTTATTGGCCATGTACAATTTCTTGTATTAGGAATTATATTTTCGAATACCCCAGTTTGCTCTCCATGAGATACACAGACATGGAGAGAAGCTTGGGGCCAGAGCGCAGGGTCAGCCATTTATATGGCACCCCTGGAGCAGTTGGAGTTAAGGGCTTTGCTCAGGGGCCCATCGGAGTAGGATTCCTTTGCCGGCCGCGGGATTTAAACCAGTAACCTTCCAGCCAAAAGTGCAGATCCTCAGCCACAGAGCAACTGCACTGCCCCCGTTATACACAATGTACTCAGAGATAACAAGTGAATGTAGAGTTGTTACATCCATTATTTAATTACTTTTTCCAAATCAGGATTGTGAGGGAGCCAGAATCCCAGCAAGTAACAGGAGCAAGACAGGATATACCCTAGACAGGACACGAGTCCATCACAGGACAGTCACACACTCATACCAGGGCTATTTTCCCCACCAGAAGCCAATTAACCTGCAGTATGTCATTGATCTGTGGGAGGAAACCCAAGCAAATACAGGGAGATAGCATAGCATAGCGGGTCTGGAATTGAACCCAGGGCCCCAGCTCTACAAGGCAGCAAGGCTAACCACTGCACTGTGCAGTCCAGAACTAGAAATGAAATGAATGGAATGAATTTGATATATACTTTAAGTGCATCAAAATGCTGTAATAATGTAATGATATTTAAAATAATACATTCTACAGGAAAAATGGCGAGTGCCCATGTTTTACCTTTCACAATTGCACATTTATATAGCAAAATCTACTTTTTTGTGTTTTTTGGGTAAATATAACAGATATGAAACTATAACACCAACTGCATTGCTGAAGGGGGGAAATTGGGTGCTTTGTTTTTGTTTAAAGTAAATTGGTTTAGAATAAAGGGAGAGGAGAGGGGGTGGGGGGCTCAAGTTTTGCCCAGGACCCTCGAATTACATAGAACACCAATTCATGGAAGCATAGATTTAATTGGCAGCAAAGGTTACTGGTAGTGTTCTAGGATTTAATATGTTGTGCTTAAAATGAATTTAGTATATAAATGCATCAAATATAATGAATAATGCATTCCACAGGAAATTGGCATGTGCTCCTGTTTTATCTTTCACAATTTTACATTTTTATAGCGATAATTATGCATTAGTTAATTTTGTAATAACACTATGAGTTAATATTAATCTGCACACTTTAATTCTGTTTCACTGTCCTAAAGAATTGTTTGATTTATTTCATACTGTTAGCTGACAAATGCTCCAATATACCTCCTCTTAAACACAAAATTAATTTTCTGACTTACCGCCATCATTATTCTGGCAAGGCAGTGTAGTGTCTTGACAGCACAATGTGAGTTTTTCTGCCAAAAAGTATTAATTCTTTACTGCAATATATTGGTCACGTCTTTCGATATTTAACCTCCCAACACATTAAGTCAAACGGATGGAAGATGAAGAAACACAATGTTAATACCCTGTTTTCATCAATTTTTAAAAAGAACTACAAAACTGAAAGAGTGCTTGGCATATAATTATTTATTGAAATATGAGGAAAAATTCCAACAGTGTAAAGAAACTCTTAGCAAGAAATGACATGACAATGTGTCATTCCTGCAGCAGAGCTGTTGAATTGAAATGAGAATCTCCACACTGAAGAGGAGGTGAATGTTTGATATCCAAGGCAGCTGCAGAACATTTGTAACACAGAACATGGGGACAATACAGATTGTCGGTTCACACACAAAGATAGAAAAAAATTAAGTCACAATAATCAACTAAAGCCAAAGATTTAGCATTTTTAAATTTTTCTTATCCTGCCCAGATGGAAATTTGTTCTTCCAAATGAAGGGAACATTTTATCATGAGTTGAAAACCACCATTGGATGGCACTGCTACTATAAGAATTATGATAATACATACCATGAGTTTTATTTGTAGAAGGGTTTCTTTTATTAAATGACAACAGGGTATGGAAATAAATGAAAATGACAGGTGTGTACAATGCTAATAATCTGATTTGACTTTTGAATTTGTCACACAAAACTTTTTGCCTACCCTCACCAATTGCTGTAGAAAGTTATGTAATGTTCATGGATAGAGATTTGTTAAACTCCATGTAGAGTGTAAAACTCCATGTAAACATCCACAGAGCATTACAAAAACACAGTTTGAAGTAGATAACAATGGACTTTGATTTGGGAATTATATCCTTCCATTATGTAGGTTGTTTCACTGGGAAATGTGAGATTACGTTATCAACCTGATAAGACCGAAAAGAAAAGGTTTCACAATATTATGTAAAACGGTAACTACAGAGTTTCATTTTTAAATTGACATCTGGGAGTACACATCCAGACTTCATTGTCCTGCACCTTCACAAGGTTTGAATTACCTGCCATGGGAATTTGTGGTGTTTAGTGTTGTGTTCCATTGTGAGAACCTGAAACTAGAGAAAATATAATTGACAAGTCTTTGGTATAGAATATACAATACGCAGGACATGTCTGCAATGCTACAATTAAGTCATCTTAAATTGAGTGTAGAAAACAGTTGCAACTGCTGCATCATTTACAATAGATTTAGATACTATACCTTTTTAACTTTACAGTTGCAAGATCCATATATACTTAATCAAATTAACTGTGATAATTTTAAGATCATTGTTTTGTCCCTGAACTGCATTTCAACACTAGTTTTTAAACATGCTACAGTAAACAAATATATTTGGCTTTGATACTCCTTGTTCTATCATACACAAGGATGAAACCAAGAAGCAATAAATTATCTTAATTGTTTAGAGGTGAAACAGTAATATACAACATTACCTAAAACTATTAATATAACAAAAGCAAACAGTCCTACAAAAACTTTTATAGCAGAAACTGAAAATAACTTTATACAATCTCTAAAAGTGATCACAAGGCCAATGCATCTATCTACAAATTAAAGGTTTAAGTGAGATTCCCATTTTGATTTTAGTGTCTCACGACATTATTAAGTACTGGTTGAAAAAAAAATGAACCAAAGGAAACAACCAGAAGAGAAATCTAAGGAAATCATTGCTTTGCAATTTGCTTCATCACAGTTCTCTCCCACAGGACCTAATAAATGTAAACACCTTTTGCATCTTTTGAATTTTACAACATTAATACTTTATATATTTTTAACATATTTCACATCTGCACAGTTAGCTAGCATGATAATGAAATAAGGCAAGACTCACGTAACTGTGACATCACAAATTTATAATACTGATATTTAAGGTTTGTTTTTTTATCACCACACTTTGTTCTGCAGCAGGCTTTGGTCTAGTACTGACAGCGGCAGTGTTTCTCCTTCCTGTCACAATAACATGTTGGATAGTAAGTTTTTGCAGTCAGAATATGAAATGTCTCATTTCGGAGGTATTGGGTAGTTTCTATAGGCTTTTTACTTATTTATCTTCCCTTTTACTTAAGCTTTTCCCATAACAAAGTACATAACAAAACATGGTCTTGATTTTCTAAAATAAGCAGGTGCTACAGTGTCACAAATGCCCTATTAGCGGTGCTTTATTTATTTTTTATAAACTTTCCACTAAAGTGAAGACTTTGCAAACAAACACAGCTATAATGCACACAGTAACTTAAAGAGGTTACTAATTAGGTTAGTTCCTAGTTTGCTCATTAGGAGACAGGATGATTGTAAAAATATATGTTAGAACGTGCAGGAAGAAGAAATGCTGCCCTTTTAAGGAAATGGGTGGGATTTCTTTTGTGTAGGGGTGGGTGGAGGATGGGTGGCTGGAAAAAAGTCTGTATAGGGCTCACAGTAGGTTTTTCTGTCATATTACAATCTGTCCTTGCAAGTTTCTGTTGGATCTCTTGAGGTTCTAAAACTCTTGTGCATTGAAAGAAGAAAATGGGAAATGAAACAGCCTCATGTGGTGCATACAGCCTTTGGAGCTTCTATCAGATACAGTACCAATATCAAGAATGTGTTGAGTCACTTCAATACTTACAAAAATGCTTTGCCACCAGAGTCCTACATGCCTTTACATAAGCATGAGGGGTGTTTTCTAACTTGCACAATGGTCTCCTCCTTAATAAGTGCACAATTCCCTTGGTTTGTTTGTTCTTCAGTATGAGTCTACGTTTTGTTACATCACTTTGTGTCAAATAAGCTCTTAAGTTTTTGGAGTCTCTTTTACAGCTCATCCACCATGTTCATCAAACTGGTTGATACCCTGACAACCAGTGTTCCACAATAAATCTCAAAGTCTGTAACATCTCCAAAAAAAGAGGAAAAAGAAAACAAATGAAGAAAAAAAAAATTGCTCTGGCTGATCAAAGTCCCAGCTGCTGGGGTGGAGAGGAGTTATATCAGAGTACGGTCTTGGGGAGGATGTACTGTATGTGTACAGGGCCTGTAGGTGGAGGTGGTCTAAGCCAGAGGGTCTGGAGAAATCCTCCAGTAATTCAGGCCCGCTTGGCATGCAGCATCTCGATCAGCAGGTTGTTGCAGGGCACGTCTCCATTTAGATGTTTGTAGTAGAGGTACTCTTCAGCCTGCATGCTGATGGCACGGATTTCTGGGAGCCTCAGCAGGAGCTGTCCGAATTTGTCTGTTTGCTGAGGGTAGTTACACATGATATAGTCCAGCAGAGCTGCATTGACCTGCTCCTGAACACTTTCCACCAGGTGGAAGTTCTCCAGATTCTTTACGTCTGTAATGAGAAGCAGAAGTGCTTATTAGAGCAATACTGTGAATCACCCCTCATCCTTTCTGTTGAGAGAATGAAGGGGTCTTGCACACTGTGGCCAAAAATATTATAATTCCTTTTAAAAGTTGCTTAATGTATCCAGCATGTATCATATCTCAAGTTGCACACGTTTTAGTTTGATAAGGTCATAATGTGATCCTTTTCACATTATGACATTTTCCAATTCTAAATTCAACAATATAATGGAAAACAGTATTTTTCTAGCAAATTCTTTGCTGGGAGTGTACATATTATAGAGTTAATTCAATATGTTTGTATTGTTATTTATGTGCACAGTATTTCTATGAATTCATATTACAGTAATTCAATATGCTCCCAAAACATTATTGAACCACCAGAACCCTTCACTGTTGGAACCAAGAAATTAGGGATATTGAGGTGTGTACGAAGAGTTTTACTTGTTGTGCTACAAGTCTACTTGTCCATTAGTAGAGAACATGTTGAACGATGATTCATTTGACCATATCACATTTCTCCAATGCTTGGTAGTCCATTGCCTCTGCTTTCTTGCAAAAATGCCAATTGCCAGGTGTGATAGCTATGGCAACATGACTATGGTATCCTAGTCTGTGGTGTTCTTGGCAGTTTGCGAAGACATTAGCTGCCCCTGTCCCAGGCTGAAATTTGCAATCACGTTGCTCTGTGGTTGCCTGCTTTGTCATGGACATCACAATCCTGGAGTATAAGCTTCCATTCACTGTTGCCTTTTGCTGATGATGTCTTTCCACTAGAGTTCCCTGCTGACATCACCCGAGACTTTTTTGCTCATGAAACCTCAGCAAATTGAGCTGTCTCGGGTCACTCTAGCTCCTGTCAAACGCACCCCAACTATTGCCCCACTAATCAGTCAGACTAAAGTCACTGACCTTGCAGCATGCTTATCATTATACACAACCCAGCTTCTCCAGGATTTTTATACACGATCCCTAAGCATGCTGGGATTTCACCTGCTTGATTAATGCATAAGCCACATCTGTGTGGAAGACCTTTGCTTCTAATATACTTGGCATATTTATCCAACAAATTGTTTCCTTTTTTTTGTCCGCTACCTGTACCTTGACTTTTTATGTATTGACTTATTGAGATCCTCACTTTAATTAGCTACTGCACACAAAAATGCTAGATAGGCCAAACCGCCTCCTCTTTCATATGTTTTTATTCATTAGTGTATAAGATGAGACACCATAAATGGGGCACACATACAATGTTCTATATCTGTACTGTACATTATTGCACAGATTCTCCTTAATATATTACAGCTTATAAAATAATTTAAACGTAACTTCCTACCTAAACAAGTGGACATAGTGTATCCTACAGAAAATAAAACAGTATACATGGCTGGAGCCATTATAGAGTAATATATGACTATCTAATGAATCCCTAGTGCAATCTTGCATTTAATCTGGCATAGACAGCACTGCATATGATCTTTTATTAATTCTTTTGACCCTAGGTTGAGTTTGTATCGAGAACCTCTACACAGTTAATTCTAATAGAAGCTGACAGGGTCCCTGTGTCGGTTTGACACTTCCAAATGATTCTGAAAGACTCTGACCTGCCCGGGCAGTACTAATGAACCATCTGGCACACTCCAGTGGCTCTCAAAATAATCTGCCCTACTACAAGCACTCAGAGAAGAAAATACAGCAGGAACTAATGAGCTTTGGAAAATGAAAATATGGCCCTTCAGAGCCTACAGTATATAAGCATGTTCTCAGCACACTTACAGGCAAAGTCAGGTCAAGAGGCCACAGTATTTGACCTGATGTATCTCTTTTCTAACATGCACCTCCAAATATACTGTACACAGTATACATACAGTACACACAGGTTTTCTTCTAATGCAGGGCTGGTATTTTTCAGTAACTGCCAATAATAACACTGCCCCTGGACCGGGAAAGAGGGTGTGATATGACACTGCCTACAAGAGACTAGCAGTATGTTGATTCTGATATTTAATAGTTGAATCTGGCTACACTGAAGGCTGTTTTGCCTGACGAGTGGGATCAACAGTACTTCAAAAAATACCTAGGTCTCTGTAGATTAAACATTACAGTACCTTTTTACACAATACAACTTCCAATTATATGAAAAAATAAGGATCTTGATTCACTGTATATATGATTTTCACACATAACTTCATCCTGCATACCTCTGCTAATAATACATTCTTAGTTAAACATTTTGAAAATGTGGCCAATTACACTTTGCACATTGAGCTGCCTTTTCATCACATCTACCAGAAAAATGTAAATACTTTTGAGTAGCATTAACTTATTCAAACTTATCCTGTACAACGTTTTTTTTTTCATAAATACCAGGGAACTGTTCAATGTGTAGAACTTATTCATTGAATTCTAAAAGAACCAAGTGCTTAAATGAGGATATAAATATGTTCCACTAACAGAAACAGTCAAAATGTAGTACAGAAATAAGCAAGTTTTTAGAGTTAAAATGTATTTCCACAACTCAGTAAACAATGAATTCAGGATTTCACATTCATTGGGAAAATCAATCAGTAGTGTAATTCTGAAAAATTTTCCTGTAGTTTAATTAATCATAGAAAATGACGTATTGTATGTATTCAAATCCGTTTTAATAATGTATGGACAGATATGTGACTGTAGTTACAGAATCTCCAAGAAAGAAATATTCATAGGGATTCTCTAACAAGTGTGGATTGATACCACTGGAACAGTGAATGTTAGAGGAGTTTTTTTTTTCTCTTCTCATTTCAGCTGTCATTTGGGTTTCCCAAATGCTACTGGGCAGTACAAATGAAATGCAAACAGATCTTCAGGACCTGTTTGACATACATGTTCCAAGTAGACTATATCAAAAATGTTTAAAAAAACTCTCATACCTGTACTGATATTACAAGGTGTGTGCAAAGTAAAATCTGACAAGCCTGTGCTTTAGATTTTTGTGTTATATGAACAGTAAGTTTTAAATGATTAAATAATGTTTCTCCCAGGGTGTTTCAGTGAAAAATCCTTCTTCGTAAGTGTAAAAAGCAAATAGTGCAGCAATCCTGTTTAATCAGAATAGAGAAGTATTTGATACATAATACAAACAACAACACAAACAAAAGTGGAATAACTACTAGATTTAATATTCTATCCATAACATAATTATTTTGTACACTGAATCCCACTCTCCTCAATGCTTAAGAAATGTAATTTTTTATCCTCATAAAGATCCAGGATACATGATTTTTGGTAACATAAAATAAAACTTCCTGTTTAACATATTTATGCTGGATTCAGTTTTTTTTTAATTATTACATTTAAATGATGGATTTTAATGTGTGCCAATATTAAAAGCATGTTGATGCCAATGATCAGGATTAACTGGATAATATTGCTTTTTCACACTTATCAGCATCATATCAGTAAGTCACATTCATTTAACAGAAATTATTTGCTGAAATGGGAGTTTTATCCAATACCATCACACCAGTGTTTGTTTTTCTACTGTCATATTTGACCTCAAATAAAATTTGGATTATGTAAGTAATTGCTATTGTTTAAATCTGACTATTATTAATTAGTAATGCTTTTGCTCAGTGTGCAGACTCAATAAAAATAAAATAACTTTCTGTAGAAAATAAAAGTACATAAAATAGGTGTAATTTATAAAGGATTTATGATACAAAAATTACAAGTTAACACATGCATTTAACACAATTAACACAAGCACTCCATGTATTCAGAGAGTTTGGCTCATGTCGTACTGTAGCTCATACTGTTCAAATGATGCTTTGATATTTTTTATTTAATTTTTTAAGCAACATAGAATGATGGAAGTATTTCTAATATGTGAGCTGCAGTATACAATTTCAAAGAAAAATAAAAAAGGGTTATCCATATATAGTTCATATGCTTATTATTGAGTATAAGACTTATAATGTGGAAAATAAATTTAGTTAAAATATCAGATGTTACCATGGTTGCATTATAAAAGTATCTGAGGCTATTTGGGGATAAGTGGGAGACTGCTTAAAACTATAGAGATTTACAGCTGAACGGATATTTCAAGCTAATTAAGAGAAAAATGATGCAAAAAAGCTACATTTTAATTGCTAATTATTATGTGACTCCTTTTGAAAAATTAAAAAAACAATATAGTCAATTTAATGACAATAGTACTAGTGTTTTTTCAATTATTTCACATTTCTGCAAATGTCTTACATTTTTGTTATTTTTATCTTGAAAAAAGCATTTTGATCATTCCTCTGATAAATATTATCATGAACACTAGTGAGCAAAGCAGGTTGTAGCTTGACGGTAAGTAACAATCTCTTATCTTCCTCTCTACATTATTCACTCAGGGACTAATTATCAACTTTTTACATGAAACAGCCTCTCTGTGAACACACAGAGGGGTGTTGTGCATTTTTACATTGCGGCTGAAGAGTAAACCCTGAGGTCTTGTAGAATATATTGTTCATTTGAGTAGTTATTGCTGCAGTCAACCCTATACATATACAACAGGGTCTTATTTGAATCCATATTCTGAAATGTTTTTTTTTTATTCAAAAGAATTTGAAGAAACCCATGGTTCTCTCAACAAAATTGTGTTTGCACCTCTTAGGAGGAAAACACTGCATTTTAAAATGTTAATGTTTTGTTTTAGAATTCAGGAGCTTCATTCGAAATCTGTACATTAAATCCCAACATTACATCTAAGAAGTTATGGTTTTTATCTTACTCATTTGTCTTGTTCATTTTACACAATATTTGCATTCTTAACAAATAATTTAAATCAGTTTTAGAGTATCTTTAAAATGGACAGGACTAGAGGGGCCTATAAGTCCCATGTTTCATCTATTGATTTCAAATCATTTGTCTATTTCTTCTCGTTTAAAATGCACACACGCAATTATTCTATAACTTATGTATTCCAAAATGAGATTTTTTACCTGTTACTTCCAACTTCAC